GCATCTGTCATAGCTTATCATACGTATTTATGTACATATAAAAGATAATACTTTATTTTATCAACGTATACATTTATAATATTTTATTTTTTAGGAAGTTTTAATTATAAAACAATGGTAACATATAAACCGATCAAACTAATTTTTTTTATTGTAAGGATGTACTTACTTTAGTAACATATATTGATTTTGTATACGTTTCTTAAACGGTTGTAGAACATTAAATACATAAATTTTGCATTAATATCATTATAATATCTTTTGGTTTAATTTGATTCCATTAACTTCTTAAAATGATCGTAATAAAGGTCAAAACGTTGTCTATGAATTAATTTATGAATTTATATTCTCCGCCAGTAACGTTGAATTTTAAAAGTACAGTCGATTTTTTATTGTGAATTCTGACAAATAAATTGAAATTTATAAAAAATATAATCTAACTTCTATGATAGTAAAACTTGTTGTTGAAACTTTCACAGTATGTAAGATTTACATTTTTCAGATTTTTATACAGTGCGAAACAACATAAAAATCTGTATTGAAATTCGAAGACCAGTCACGGACAAAGAGTAAAAATTTTCATTGCCGACGCTTAATATAAATATAACATTTATTAGCACAAAAAATCTGCTTGATCTATTTAATTTCTTTTAAAGTACAATTTATGTAGTAATTTATTAAAATATTGTTCTATTTTAATGAAAAATTAATGCTACTATCCATAATTAATTTTAAAAAACTGTTTTGCATTAAAAATAATATGAATGCTTGAAGTAATTAAGAAATATATTAATAATGACTTAAGTAAAGAATATTAAATATATTAAGAATATTAAATATATGAAATAATAATGAGGCGCATACCAATTGTAACATCTTTAAAATACAATTCCAACTTTTCAAATAACCGGTATTGACGACAATCGCAGAAGACAATCGATCTACTCACCGCTATTTGCGATCTAATCGTCATTGAACAAGACATCTTTTACTGATTTTAATGTCAGTTCTGAAATCAAAGATAATTGTGTTCTCCATTTCCTATCGTTATTTATAAAGATTCCATTTAATATGCGTAAGCGGGAACATTTACTTGTGTCAAATAGAACAGGGTTAAGATTTTGAGATGTGACCTACATTGAGAGAAAATCCTCACAATTTTTTCATAAAAACAAAAATATGTATTTTTATTTTTCCTCGAAATTCGAAATTTGTATGCCTTTGCAAGAAAGTTATATGTACCTACATATATGTATATCTCTAGCTATATATCTATATTATATATAGATATATGTATATACGTACATATGTATGTGAATATACATATATATATATATATGTATTACAATATTGTTTGTTTTCCAATGCATAAAAATAGGATTTTGTGTGAGGCAAAGTTAATTCAACGATTATATGCAATTAAAAATAATTTTCTGTTTATATATTATATTAAAAGAAATAATGAATATATATATTCATTACTTCTTTTAATATAAATCGAAAATTATTTTTAATTGCACACAACCGTTAAATATTTACAAATTAAGTAATTAAAAAAGGGAATATAAGCTAAGTTATTTTAATGTTAAACCAGAAATAATATAAAATTAAATTTCATATAATTGAATAAACATTTCGACTTATATACAAGATCATAATTAATGTTACAAAGAACCGGTAATTGCAAGTAAGGCCGCATAAAAATCCTAATAAAATCCAAAATCATGTTAAACATTATTAATATAAAATATTGTATATAATACTGTCTCAAATTTTATATTAATAATATTTTAACATAGCTTTAGATATTATTAGAATTTTAATTTTTATGCGACTGTAATTGTATTTGTAATTATCGAAACGTTATGACATTGATAATGACCTTGTGTAGGTCGAAACGTTTATTCAATCATATGAAATCTAATTTCCCATTATTTCTGGATTAGCATTAAAGTGACTTATTGGCTCGTATCCTCTTTTTTAATTATTTATTTTATATTTAATTATTTATTTTATATTGAATCTTTATTTTTATTGTATAGATTATAAATATGAACTAATGAAAACTTATTTCAATATTTTGCTCTTGATTAATTTGTTCCTTACTTTTTCTGTAGCTTTTATTGCTACAGCCGATTGCAACATAATGTGGCATTGTTGATATTTTATTTTAGAAAAATATAAAATTTTCGTATGCGCAATATTAGTTGCTTTTCATTTGCACACAAGTCAAACTGAGCTGAGTATTTCATACTCAATTTTATGACGTCATTATTTGCTTAGTTTGGTAAAAAGTTATCACAGATTCGAATCTGACTTTTAAAGGGAGTTTACGAGATTCACTAAAGCACACAGTCTCGATCTTGCGTAGATTATAGGCAAAAACTCAATTAAATCTCACTTGTTAGAATGTAAAAAGAACGCGCATTCAACTGAGTTATGACGTCACAAGTGAGAATTATCTGAGAATCGGTGTAAATGGAAAACAACTATTGTTCTCGTCACGGTATCCAGCAGTGGTGTTACACACAGGCTGCATTCCGTTTCACGTATGAAGTGGATGATGCATTATTTATCCTTGTTTCACATTTGGTGAATAACGAGGATAAATAATGCAACATACGTGAAACAGAATGCAGCTTTATTATTTTATCGCTAGAAAGCAGTATCACAGTGTCACTAGTGGCTACGTTGTGGCTGCTGTGCCCAATGTGGCGCCGAGCATGTCTGGGCGATGATTAACTAATGGCGAAGGAAAATTGGCGGGAAATCACTAAGTTCACAAAGAAATGTTACTCATTGTTTGTGACTCATAAGCCATAAGGCGGTTTAATATAAACTCAAGTGAATATTTAGAACGTTCAGATTAAAAGAGTAGAGACGTAATTGCGTGCGTATGTCGGCTCGGATATCGGTATCGCATTACTAGGTTAGAATATGAGAAACTTAAAAATCTACAACATAAACGTTTATCTGACGACGCGGGCAATTACCTAACGACATGAGCAGTAACCGATGTCGATCTCGCAGTGAACATAAAGATTATTAATCTTATCGAATACTAACTAAAATCTATCGCTGAAGCTTACAAAAGATCCGCACGCAGAACGGTATGACACGAGAGAGTGAGAGAGGGGTGAGAGGGGGGAGGAAGGGAGAGGGGGGAGAGAGAGAGAGGGGGGAGAGAGGGAGAGGGAGAGAGAGAGGAGAAAACTGGAAAAAAAAAACTAACTCGAGCGCCGCAACTAACGCTTGCAACGCTATAGTACTCCCCTCCCAGTGTAAACGTTAACGAAAGAAATACTGGTTAAATTATCGCTAGAACGAAAATGATAGAAAATAAAATTAAATAAACAAACAGAAACTTATGCTTATTAATCGCTTAATGTAATATTGCGCGAATAAATCTAATAGTCTTGGTTACTGGACCAGCATATATATCTTTGGTTCACATTGCACTGGAATGTTAGTTGAAGACAGAGACGCAGTGGATGGAGTTGTTTTTGAATCTTAAATTATTAAATAACCGGGCTTAAGTCTATCGACAGTGGCGTTGATACATCTGCCATCGACTTCTATAGCAAAGACTTTGTCCGAAATGCGCTCTAATACTAATGCGATCCTGTGTATGGTAGGTCCAGAGGACGCCTGTTACCAGTGTTACCTTCTACTTCGAGGAAGACGTGAGAACAATTATACAAATCTTTATAGAAAAATAACTTAGGTCTAATGTGATGAGAGGTTGATCTAGGCCGTAACTTTTGCATAATTACGCGGAAATCTTCGACGAAAATGGGTCGTTTGGCATTTCTTTAGAGGAGAAAACTCGGTACTTTGAGCGTAGTGCTGTAAACTAATTTCGCTACAGAAGTGCTTAGATCCTCTTTGAAACAAGTTTTTACAAAGGAAGTTTTACAACTATCCGGAATCGATTTAATTCTCCATGAAATATGTTGTAAAACGAAAATCTAAAAGATACGCATTTTTTTATACTTGTGCCAACTCATGTTTAAGGGGTGACACCTCTTTGAAAAAAACTTTTTCTTTTAAGCCAAACATCGTCGCAAGAAATAAATAATAAAAAAAATTTTTTAAACAAAAATTGTACGGTTTTAAGTTTTTTTGTACTATCACCCGTAATTTTCTTAAATTTTCAATTTTTTTTTACCAAATTAAAGATTATTTTTTTATAAATTCAACCATGTGTAATAAAGTTACATTACGATATACTATTTTCGAGAATTAATTATTAACACTACCGTATATATGCTATTTATGCTCATATGCGTAAATAATTATCGGAACGGTAAAATATATAAATCAACGAATAAGGAAACTGACACGATTGATATTTGTAACATTACAAATTATAAATAATGTTAAGAGTTATAATAATTTTTATTATTTCTTCTTAAAATGAGAGAGAGAGAGAGAGAGTAAAAAGTTTTTATTCATTCTCTGTACATTATCCTTATAAATCTTAAGATCTTAAGATTATTCTCTTAAAGTTATTTTCAGTTTTACGCTTTAATATCTTATTTACTTGTCATTTACGTAATAATTTTAAAACGTATATATTATATTTAATAATAAAATAATTTCTAAATGTTTGTACACAATAAATTTATATTTTGTATATTTACTCATTACAAAAATAAGACTCGATGAAAAAATGTTTTAGACATAATAATAACTTCTTGCTCTATGAACATTTTACTACAGCTATATTATTACAACCTTTGATATCACATGTTGAACTTTTGTCAAAACTAAATTTTACTGGATTTTTAAATTCTTCTGGTCTTTCGTTTGTATAACCACTTTTAAACCACGAATATTTAAATAAGTTGTGATATCGCGGGGATGACAATTGATTATGTATTAGAGATTGTAATTTTATTAAATTATTTCGTGAATCGATAAAAAGAACGTTATTAGAACCACTGTTTGGAAAATAAGCTTCTTCTAACCACATTTTAAAATGGTCTGTAAGAAATATAAATATTAAATTAATAATTATTTTATGACTATTATGAGATTCTTAAATAAAATATAAAATATATCACAGAAATAAGACTTATAATTTCATTATATTTTTCCGTTTATGCAAATTTATATTTACTTTTTAATAGTAAAACAGTATCTGAAAATGTATTGTAAAAGGAAATTTATTTAATTACCTGAAGTCATTTTACCAGATTTCGATGCTTTTACAATAACATTTATTGGTATAAATAAGGTTTCTTGTACTCTTGATTCAAATATATCATTAGTTTCTTTCAATACAATAAATAAACATGACAGCAAATTTCCATTACATGATATTATTGGTTGTATGGATATGTTGTTGATGATATAGATTGTACAACACACTCTACTTTCTTTACTTCTTCATCAGACAATGACCTTTCAGAATGAATTTCCAATTGAAAACCATTTTGATCAGAATTAAAAACATTTTCAGATTTGAACTGTTCGATAAATAGTTTCACTGTTTTCAGAAAATCATTAGCTGTATTTTGCAACTCAACGGAATCTTCTATTGTTTTTCTAGTTACAAATTTTGTAATTTTTCTCGAAACAATTCGGGGACTTTTTGAATGTTGATACCCAACTGTGAGATGTTTTAAATATAGAATTTAAATTTTCTAATTCTTCTTGAGCTTGTAAAGCCCACCTTTGTGTGTAGATCGATATCATGAATTATAAACCCTGATTTAACAGCTGCACTAAATTTATCATGTTTAAATTTGGAAAATTTGTAAGATAATTTTTCTATACGATTTTCACCTGAATGTAATTGTTCTTTCCATCTTAAATGACGTTCAGATGAAATTCTTTTAAATTTATTTTGCACTGATTTTAGCGGACGATTTCTTTTGTTTTTATTTTTTTCATTAATGTCTCAATTCCGCCAATATTCAACAGCTCGTCTTATAAGAATTGTCAAAGCCTGCGTCATTATTTGAACATTGAGGATGAGAATTTAAATTGTCTTCACTTCATGCTTCTTCATCATCTTCAATTATTATAAAATTATGTAGTTTATAAGGTTCTTATAATCGAGATAGATTTTTTTCT